CTGCATTTTAAAAATAGATATTCCACTGAGACATGGTGGTGCATGCCTATAAGCTCAACACTCTGAGATTTTGAGGCAGCAGAATTACAAGTTTGAGCCCAGCCTGAGCAGTTTAGTGACTTAGTGAGACATTGTCTCAAAATTTAAAAAAAAATTAAGGGTTGAGGATGTAGCTCAGTGCAAAGTCCAGGGTCCAATATCAGGCACCCCTTCTCACACACACACAAGGGTATTTTGACTGTTATGGTTTAGATTGAGAATGACCCCAAAAGGTTCATTTCCTCAGAGGTGGAGCTTTTGAAAGGTGATTGGATCATGGGCATTGTTTGTGTCTAGATGTTCCCCTGCAGCCTCTTGCAGTCATGGAGGTGGGCTTCTAGAGTTTGTGATTGATTAATGGTCCAATGCTAGGATTATGGGTGTGCTATACCCACCTTGGTGCAAGTAGCCTACATACAATATAAGGAAAAGAAAGAATCTTCTATCCCACTCTTCTCTGCTCTTGTTGCTTTTGCTGTTGTTCACTGCCATGAACTGTTGCCCCTCTGCCATGCCACCCTGCCTGGAGCCAGCTGATTATGGACTGAACCCTTCACAAACTGTAAGCTAAATAAATCTTTCCTTCCTTAATTTTGGGCATGAGGTATTTTGTCCCAACAATGAGAAGTAGTGAAAACAGAATTTGTTACAGGTAAATGGGGTTGTTTCTGTGACTATACCTGACCATGTGGTTCAAGAGCCTTTAGGATGACTTGTGGAAAGAGTTTGGAAAGGTTTGGAGATGTCACCTGAAAGAGTAGAGCTGGAACACCTTAGGCAGTTCTGTATGGGAGGTTCTGGTCAGAGATCAGAAGACCAGAAAACCGGTAAAGACCAGGCTACGGATGTTTCTGCTGGGAAGAAGGCTGTTGGACTCCAGATAATGTATGTTATGTTAACATACATAACACTGCACTCCACCCAACTTGAAGAGAAAAAACTCTGACAGACCAACAGTCTGTTCAAACAGGAAGCCCCCCTCACTCAGCTTGAGAGACTAAAATAAATCTGTTTATCACCATGGTTCCCAGACCTGGTTCTCAGGCTTATGGAAAACACTGTAAATCTACAGAATATCACGCTGTAAATCAGCAAAGTACTACTGTCATCCTGCACTTCCCTCCTCCCACAGGCACCAGACACATCCATGACCCCTGAGAAACTTAAAATTTTCCATCTCCCTCAGTGGGACTTCTCTTCCCATGTGTAAAATAGTCTATAAAGTATGTTCTCTTCCTTTGTTTGTGGCCAATGGTCTTTTTGCCCTTGGCCAGGCTGCACCCAGTCTGAAATGAAGATATCACCGTTTGCTCCAATCCTGCCTGTCATGGTGGTCTCAGTCCCCACTTGGGGTCTAACCTGACATGCTATGGCTTGGCAAAAAGTTTGTCTGCATTTTGCTCATGTCCAGAGATTTTGCCTGAGACTAAGATTGAGGGTGGTGGACTAATTAATCAGGCAGAAGAAATTTCAAGGCAGTTGAATGTTGAGGTGATGGCATGGCTAGGGCTTTTAGCCAGATTTATGTTCAGAATCAAGAGCAAAGACCCCAGCAGGATGATTTAAAACACTGTGAGTTTGGTCAGAAAAAAACCTCCAGTAAAGCTGTGGACTGCAAAGATAGAGCTGAAGAGATCTCCATTGCTGAGAAGAAATAGGATACTATAAGAGATGGCTTGAGGGCATCACAAGAAGCAGCAAGTCCCTACCACCTGTAGCCTCAAAACTGCAAAAGTGAAAAACTTTGCTTTGAGGAGAAAGCTGAACAGCACCATGTTCCAGAATGGTGGTGGCTGCTGCACCAGATTCTGAAATGGCACTGGATGTACAAGGTTCCAGAATGGCAGCAGCGCAGAGAATTTGTTCAGAGTGCTCAGTGATCCAGACACTCAATCCCTACAGCCAAGGGAGAAGAAAGCCTGGCTACTCCTACAGCCGGCAGCAGACGTTGGCAGCATCCATGTGGCTTAGGTGCATGCAGAATGCATGAGTTGTAGGGTTAAGAAGCCTTCTTCCAAAATTTCAGAAGGCCTAGGAGGCAATGTGTGAAACTGTGAGCGTGAAGCCAAAGGTGCAGTGAAGACCTCAGAAGTTTGGAAAAGCCAGGAACGTGGATTGTCTACGAAAAACTGCAGGAAGGGAGCAAAGCAGGCCCAAGAAAGAAGACCTGGGAGCTACTACCACTACCACTACCACTGAAAGTGCCATAGGGGTGTAGCCACACAAGCCCTTTGGAGCTCATAACTTACCACAGATTGCTTTGGATGTTCCACATGGAACTACAAGGCTTCATGTTCACCCTGCTGGATTTTGGACTTGCTTTGGTCTCAATGCTTTTATATCCCCCTTTGTTTGTACTTTTTGTACTTTTTGGAATGGTAATGTTTATCTTATGCCATTGAATGTTCAAAGTGTTTGACTTTTCATTTGTACAGAAGCTCACAGCTAAGAGTTTGTCTTATATCTCGGAGGAGACTTGGGGCTTGGACTTTTCAGCAATGCTGAAACTATTAGGACTTTGGCAACTCTTAGAGATGGACTAAAATACCTTTTGCATAAAGGGATGGGCAAGACTTTGGGGGTCCAGGGGCAGAATGTTATGGTTTGTGTCTAGACGTCCCCTCAAAGCCTTATGCAGTCATAAAGGTGAGCTTCTAGAGTTTGTAATTGATTAATGGTCCAATGCTGGGATTATGGGTGTGTTACACCCACCTTGGGGCAGGTAGCTTGCATACAATATAAGGGAAGGAAAGAGGCTTGCTTGCTATTTTCCACCACCATGAACTGTTGCCCTCTGCCTTGGAGCCAGCAGAGTATAGCCTGAAACCTCCATAAAGAGTGAGTTAAATAGACCTTTCCTTCCTTAATTTTGGGTGTCAGGTATTTTGTCTCAGCAACAAGAGAAAAGTAACTAAAACAGGCATTATAGCTGACTTGCTATTAGGAGTTGGGATTCAGTAGGAAGAGGTAGGTCTCTCCCTCCCAGCTCCTCCCTTCCATCTCTGCTGAGGTCACCTTGTGGTAACCACTTACATGGGATGCAAATATCTTTACATCTTTCACCCACATGGAGAGATCTATCCATATACTTGTCTTTGTCATTTTGTAGTTATGTTTCTTTTGAGCCCCTGATCACCCAGCCAGACCATAGGCTACAGCCCATGAATGAATATAGAGTCACATATCTGGCCGTTTTTCTTCCAGATAAAATGTGTGACCAGGTGCACTGCCCCAAGTTTTTCCCACGGTGAGGATTTCCCTCACCCGGAAAGGGGCAGTGGTGCTGCAGCTGTCCACTTTGGGGTGGCACCTACATAATGTGCAGAACCATCTGCAAACCAGGCCCTAGTGTTCTCTCTCTCTTCCTGGCTGCTGTACCATGAGCAGTTTTCCTCTACCCAGGTCTTCCTACCATGTCATTTCTGTGTTCAAATCTGCCAGACATGCACTAAAACTTCTCAAACTGTAAGCCAAAACAATCCTCTCCTCCTTTCTGTTGTAATTCTCAAGTATTTTGTCCCAGTAAGGAGGAAAGTGACTAAGACAGTGACTTATTTTCCCAAATCCCAAACTGTCATCTGCCCGTCTGATGGCACTAGACATCAGAGGAAGTGGATTTGAGCAGAATTTGGAGAGAAATGCGAGTGCTTTTTGTTGACTGTGGTTACAATGCATCTCTTTTTTTTTTAAGTTAACAATGCATCTTTTTCTAACTTTACCAAATCACATGGTTCCCAGCAAGTGCAATAGGAAATCACAAAGAACAAAGACGAGCACATCATGTTCCAACCACTGCAGTTCCAGGAAGGCTGATAACATCTTCACAGCCACCCATCCCTGAGAAGCTTGACTATACCTGCTCTGCCCTCACATTCCTCAAGCCAGCAGCTCTCCCCACCCCACCAACTAGCAGACCAGCACCCAACAACAACCTCCTCCTTAAAGCCTTTGTTCTCCCCTCTCTGGGGGCTGACTCTTTTTGGACTCAGCCTCTCACACCAAGTAAAATAAACAGCTTAGTTGCTCATACAAAGCCTACCTGAGTGGTCTCTTAATCTCTGTGCCTTTGATACAGTCACAAATGAGATTTATGCTCTGGGCCTAAGTAGCCTAACAAGGACCAGAAATTTAAAGAGGAAAAAAAAAAAAAAAAACCAGAGAAAATACTTGGAACAATGGATCTCAAAACATTGGAGAGCCAGGTGCGTAGTGCACACCTGTAGTCTTAGCCACTTGGAAGCTGATGCAGGAGGACTGCTTGATCCTAGAAGTTCAGGGCAGTAGCACACTGTGCTCATTAGGTATCTTCCCCAAATACAACAGTGGGATCACGCCTGTGAGTAGTCATGACGCTCCAGCCTGGCCAATAATGGAGAACCTTTCTCTTAAAACAAAACAGACCCAAACAACAACCAGAAAATACTGGACACCTAGAAACAAAGTGATATGAAGATGATAGTAGCACCTCCAAATAATCCAAGTAATAGAAGAGAAATATTATAATTCCTAACCTGCTAGATATCTGATATGCTGAATTCATGTTCCTCAAAAATCAAAGAATGAATTCTAACAAACAATGGAGATTAGGAGTAGGAAATATTTATTAAAGGGAAGAGATAGCTTCTGTCTAAGAGAGACAGAAGGGAACCAGAAAGTGGGTTGCTGAGAACCCCACTTCTCAGGGGAAGCTTTATAGTGCAAAATCACAAAGTGTGTATATGGTGAGACAAAACTATGATCAACTAATAAAATTACAAGTATAGTCGTTTAGGTAATTTTTTTTTTTTGTCTTTTTGAGACAGGGTCTCACTATGCAGTTCAGGCTGGCCTTGAGCTCACTTTGTACCCCAGGCTGGCCTCAAACTTGCAACAATCCCCCTGCCTCAGCCTCCCAAGTGCTGGGATCATAGGTGTGGGCCACTATGCCCCGCCGCTTAGGTAATATTGATCCAATGGAAAAGCAAGTCATCCGATGGGGTAGCAAGTGTCCATGGAAAGAACAAGGACTCTTCCTGGAAGGTAGGGTCAATGCTTCTGCCTGGTCCCTCCCCATTATTGATGCCTATTTAGATTATCAATCATTACTGCTTGATGCCAGGTGTGGTGGCACATGTCTGTAATCCCAGCACTTGGGAGGTTGAGGCATGAAGATTGCTGTGAGTTTGAGATGAGCTTGGGCTACATAGTGAAGTCAAGAACTGAACTCACTGCAGAGTGAGGCCCTTTCTCTCTCAAAAAAAAATCATTACTGTTTGTCCCTAGGGGAAATATGTAGTTGTAGTCATGCCATCTTTTGTCTTGAGGTCTGGCCTTCAATGAATGGGCCTCCATCCACAGTTGTAATCTTCTGCACTGGCTCTTTTGAAAGCCTAGCCCAATATGACTGCCTGCAATATTTCTAACTTAGCTGTCTTTAATAAGGACACCCTGATAGTGAAAGTAACAGATGTAAGTCCTATCACTGTCGCAGTTCACACCTGGAAAAAAGGCTCCAATCCACAGCAGAGAGAGGCAGAATTCACACAGGGGCCAGTGGTCACTGGTTTGAGGGGACAGAAGTTAGAGCCTGGGGAGGGCAGGGCACCTACAGTTTTCTGGCTACTGGACAGTGTAAGGACAGTTAGGGAGGAATAGGCAGCATAGGGCATGATCTTGGTGGTCAGTGTAATGAAGATAAGCACATACTCACAACATGATATACTGGAGGAGGCTGCCCCTTGTGGGACCTCTGCATGCTTTCTGCTATGTGCCCATAGTCCTGTGAACCTTGGCTCACCAGAAACAAAAGCTAAGATCCTGACTGCATCAATCAGTAAAATAGTTCTTTTTAGAAAATCAGCTAACCCCTATAAACACAGACAAGGCAAAGACATCAGGCTGAGAAGCTCACCTTGAGGTTCTCCCTGCCATACAGCTCGTTGTGGGAGGTGGTTAGGCCACAGAGGCTCCACCATTGTGGGTGAGATTAATACCATTATAAAAGGTGAGTTTAGCTCCGTGTCTTTTTCCTCCCCCATATTCCACCATGTGATGATGCAGCCAGAAGGCCTTTGCCAGATGTGGTGCCTTGATCGTGGACTTCCTAGCCTCCAGAACTGCAAGAAAATAAATGCCTCCTTATTACAAATCACCTACTCTCAGGCATTCTGTGATAGCAGCACAAGAGAGTTAATCATGTCATTTCTTCAACAATTTTTTTTTTTTCTAGTTTTTTTCTCCGGTACCGGGAACCGAACTCACGACCTTGCGCTTGCCAGGCAAGCGCTTTGCCACTGAGCTAAATCCCCAGCCCCCGACAATGTTAATAACCTGTTTCTTCACCGCAGCACAACTCCATCTCCCACCACCTCCTCCACCTTTTGCTTTGTACAGTAAAGCTCCATCTCCATTCTCCCCGCTACCTCAAGCCTACTTTCTCCTTCCCTCCAGGTATTCCTGAGAGTCTTTGGATAGGGTTGCCAGACAAAACAGAAAATGTCAGTTAAATTAGAAACCCACTTATAATCTTTTTTTTTCCTTTTGGTACTGGGAATTGAACTCAGGACCTTGCGCTTGCCAGGCAGGTGCTTGTGCTGCTGAGCTATATTCCCAACCCCTCCACTTATACTCTGACTGACTATTTTGACAATAATGATATGCAACATATTAACCATTGTTAATCTCCTATTAGCTTGTTTTGAAATTCTGTATCCTTCTTTATATTGTTTTTTCTGTTTAAAATTAAAAACAGAAACCTAGCCAATCGATAAATCATTTTTAGTGTAAGTATGTCCTATACAATATTTGGACGTACTTATATTTTGAAAATCTCCACTGTTTATCTAGAACTCAAAATTAACTGAGTGTTCTATATTTTTATTTGCCAAACTGGAACTCTTTCTGCAGGATGTAGCTCACTCGTGCTCAGGACAAATACTCTCAGTTATTTTTCCACCCTTACTCCCTAGAAAACAGCTGAGACAAACCTCACATACCACAGCTGAGCTGCAAATCCAAGGCCCAGTCAAGGCGGGGGAGACGGGGGGGGGGGGGGGAGACAAGGTGACACCTCAGTCAGCTGCTCCAGCTTCCCAGGGAAAGACAGTGGCTGCTTGGTGGTACAGAATGTCATCCAGACAGGCCATGTGGAAACACTGTGCTTTGCAGCAGTTTCTCTGGGGAGAGAGGAAAGAGGTTTACCTGCCAGATCTGTCACCTCCTGGTGTCTCTATTAAAGTTCACTGCAAAGGGTATGGATCCCCTGGTGTGTCTGATGGATTATAGGATGGTTCTCACACCCTGAAGGACTAGAGTCCTTCACCTGAGCCCAGAAGTGTGGGGGGAGCCCTAGTACTCCCCCGGAGGGCATGGTGGGGGCCATTTGGACTTTGTCCCGAGGGCACTAGGGAGCCATGGAGAGGTTTAAACAGGGGGAAGATTTGGGCTTTAAGAAGATCTGATTGAAAGGGATGGATACAGCATGTAAATAGATAATTCCACAAATACGTAATTATAATGTTGATGGACACAGAATGTATTAGGAGGCCCCTGGCCCAGCTAGGCCTGCAAATTGTGCAGTATGTGGGAAGCCTCAGAGGCCAGACTAAAGTGAGGCAGGAAAGCAGTTCTCTTTCATAGCTCCATTTCCTAGTCCTCAGCTGCCTACCTCACTTACACAAGAAATCTACTCAGCTGGCAAATATTTTATACAGCACCTCCTATGCACCAGGCACTGTTTTAGATACATTGGTGAATAAGATACCACACACACACACACACACACACACACACACACACAAATTGCTCTTGGTCCTTTGGGAGGGGGGAACCTAAGGGATATACCCCAGAGGCACTTTACCACCAATCTACATCCCCAGCCCTTTTTATTTTGAGACAAGGTCTCAATAAGTTGCCCAAGATGGGCTCAAACTTGCCATCTCCTGCCCCAGCCTCCCAGGTAGCCAGGATTACAGCCATGAGCCACTACACCTAGTCACAAATTGCTCATTTATGATACTTTGGGAAGGATGGTGAGAGGGTAGAGATGGAGGTATGGGAGGCCAAACTGTGTGTATCAGTTATAAGGACTGTTCTGGGCTGACAGAAGATGAGTCGACTGAGGGGTTAAGGGTCTCCCTTTGGCCAATTTTGCACACTGTGGAGGACAAGGGTGAAGCCAGGAGGTCAGGGAGTGGGCTGCTCCAGTGGTCCAAGGTGAAAGAGATGGTGGCTCGAAATACAGGTAGTAGAGAGAAGTTCTGAGTACACTTTTAAGGCAGAACCAAAAAAATTCTTGATAGATCAGCTATGGGTTGTGAGACAAAGTGACAAGAATAGCTCTAAGATAGAGTTGCCATTTTCTCAGATGGAACGACTTCAGCCAGACCCTTCAGATCGCCAATTTATAACTTCTAATCTCTCCTCCTTGTGATGCTGGACTTCGGCATTGAAGCTCTCAGCCTCTCAAATATGTGTTGAATTGCACCTTCTGAGCTTTGACGAAAGATGGTAACGTGCAGGGCATTCCAAACACTGTAACGAGTGACACTGGGGGTGAGATGCTTCTTTTTCAACCCCCTAACGACTAACCCATAAAATTTTATTTTTTCTTGATATTGGGGTTGAACCCATGCCGCACGCATGTTACACAGCGCTCCACCATTGAGCTACAGCCTGAAACCTTTTAATTTTATTTTGATAGAGTCTCGCTAAATTGTCCAGGCTGACCTTGTGATTCTCTTGCCTCAGCCTCCTGAGTAGTTGGTCTTACCCGACGTGCGCTACCGCGCCAGGCTCATCCCGTAATAATCACGATAGGGACTTTTCTATTTCCTTCATCACTGTTTTCTCAACCCTCTGTCAGTACTTACACAGGTAATTTTTCAATAAGTATTTCTTGCATGAATAAAAGTACTTTCGCTGAGACATTCTCCCCACGCCCGCTCTCCAGCCAGTCCAGGGAGACAGAATCCCCTTTTTCTCTTAAAGAAACAAACAAAACAATAGCGAGACGCTGACAACCTCCAGCCAAGCCCTCTCCTACTACCACATTGAGACCATCATCTATGTGCAGCGAAAGCTTACGATTGGGCTGACCTGTGGTGATGAATAGGAATTCAGCCCAATAGAAGGTCGGAGTTCTTTTTGGTGGGCGTGGCCTGAATGGCTTCGGAGACCGCCTCCTCGTGGCCGCTCTAGCAGCTTGGATGACCCGCTTGTCTCTGCATTCCCAACTTCCGGCTGGTCTTAATTCCGCTTCCTGTCTGACAGTGGCGTCTGCGCTGAGGGTCACATTGAGGTGCTTGCTGCTCCAGGGGCGTATTTAGGTGAGTGTGAAGCACTTGGGAACCCGAGACAGCCCCCCAGCCCCACTGGCTGAGGGATCGGACCCCTTGATAGTGGGCTGAGGCTTTGGGCCGGCGGCGGCGGCCCGCCCGAGGCCCGGGCGTTCCGTTGTTATATTAGTAGTGATAGCTAAGGTTTACGGTACATGATTCTTCCTTAATACCGGGCAGCATTCTAAGCAACTGTTAGCTCGTTTAATCCTCTTTGCAGCTTCGTGATTTAGGGCCTGTGATTACCTCGTTTAACAGCGAGGAAACGGGACTCAGCGATGTTAAGCGACTTAGCAGAAGCTGCCCAAGCGACCAGGATTTGGACGCAGTAATGGGGACTGCGGGACTTTTAATCCCCAGGTCCACAGGCGTGGGCTCCGCGGCTTGTTTGGGCCGAGGCCTCTCTCCCCTGCTGCCTCTTCCCTCCTGTCTTGGATGTTGGAGGGGCCGCAGGATCATCTTTGCGTCCGCCCATACCCACAAATACAAGGTCGCGATCTCGCGCAGGACTACGGCTGGGTCTGTGACCTGGCCGGAAGTATTTGACAGCCTGCCTGATCACTTTCTTCCAGGCCCCAGACACCCGCTTCCCCCCGAGACTATGCTAGTGCCCCAGACGTCCACCCCTACCTTGGGCCTCTAGAATCCGACAATGGCCTGTGCACCTCTGTGTGGTGCCATAACTCCTCTAATTGGAGTATAGGAACTTTCTCCCACATACCTTGGTGAAAACTGTGTCACCCTTTCAGAAATGTATCAGAGGTTTTCAACCCTGGGTCCACAGAGTCAGTAGAATTCAAGGGATGCTAGTACCTGAATGGGTGGGTGGCAGAGGTGAAGAAGGTCACATCCGTATTTTTACTAGCTTGTGATTGAAATACAGCATTTCCTTCCATTAGGGACGGAGGCAGCGACTTCAAGAGTATTAGTAACAACTATGGCTTTGTCAGCAGTCGAAATCATAAATACTCATTAGCCACGTTTAGTTGCAAGTGTATAAAATATCTTTTTTTTTTTTGTCTTTTTGAGACAGGTCTTACAATGCAGTTCTGGCTGGCCTTGAGCTCACTTTGTAGCCCAGGCTGGCCTCGAACTCGCAACGATCCTCCTGCCTCAGCCTCCTGAGTGCTGGGATTACAGGTGTGCGCCACCATGCCCAGCTTAAAATACCATTTTCAATTGTGCTTCCAAATTGTGGTGGTCATTCTATACAATTTAATGTATTCGGAGAAAGAGGCTTAGGGATTCATCAGACCCTTGAGTTTTCAACAGCAAAAAAGATTAAGAACCTTTGCAGTGCAGGTTATGCCACTGGTGACAGCAACCCACCATTTGTATGCTGTGTGACCTTGGGAAGTCACTTAGATCCTGTCTCTTCCTGGTGTGGGTAACAGGATAGGAATAGTTCCTGCCTTTTAGAGTGGGTTAGGAGTAAGATGTGTAGAACAGTACCTGGCATGTAGTAAGCTTTGTGAGTGTTACTGGTAGTATTTTGGGACCAGGCTTGATTTTGCTAAGGAGTTACCCAGAAACCCTGCTATGAGTTCCATGCTGAGATGTATGCATTTGCTCTCCCACTGTCTCTGTATGTGACGAGAGAGGAGTTCTTAGCACAACCCATTCTTCTGTGTCTGGGCCTCCTCCATTGGGCCTGGTTGTTCTGACCTCCCTATGCTCAGGACCCCTGCCAACACCCCCTTTCTTTGCTTCCAGGAGTCAGCACCATGGCAGACGACATCCACACCAAAATCAAGAACTACAAGACTGCTCCTTTTGACAGCCGCTTCCCCAATCAGAACCAGACCAGGAACTGCTGGCAGAACTACCTGGGTAAGCAAGGCGCAGTGGTGGAGGATACAGGCTTTCCCCTGGTGTTGCACCGGAAGGCATTAACCCCTTCCCCACTCCAAAGGGATCCACCCATCCTGGTGCTTCTCCCTTTTATTCCTGATGTCCTATCTCTGGAGGACTCATGCTCCTCATCACCAGCATTGTTCAGGATGTGGGCCAGGATCACAAACTTTGGTTCCTGTGATGACTTTTTTTAGAGGAGGTATATACGTACAGGAAGTAAATAAAACATGTACTGTGTAGCTCAGTGAATAATCCTACAGTGAATCCTCTGCAGCTGTTATCCTCACACAAAAGTAGGTATTGCCAGCACGGGATCATCTCTACCTATTTTGTGCCGAGTTGGACACATTACTCTCCCCACTGGTGGATGTGACCCACCAATTTAAGGTGATCACATTTTAGTTTTACCCCCTGCATTTCAGTTTACCTCTTTGTGAACTTTATAAATACTGTTATATATTCTTTTGTGTTTAGATTTTTTTATTTGATAGGTTTTTCAGATTCATTTATATGTGTCACATAGTTTGCTCTTTTTCGTTTTCCCACAATTCACTTGATTCACGGACATTTGTATGATTTCCATTTTGATGCTTGCAGGAATGGTGCTGTTTAAACATTCTTACAAATGTAATTTTATGTGTATTTCTCTAGGGAATGCGCCTAGGATTAGAATACCTGGAATAATGTTGTTTTGGTTGTTTGGTTGTTTGTTTGTTTTTTTTTTAATGGAATGCCTACTTCTAAAAACCAGATTGTCCTCTGCCTTCCTCTCTGGGACGCCACATCTTAGCATCAAGACCACCTTCCCCTTGCCTTGCCCTGGTTCTGGACTTCAAAGATTCCCCAATCAGGCCCTTCTCATTTCCCCATTATTCCTGACCCCCAAATTTTCAAACTGAATAGCAGTTCTGTAGGGTTACAGAATCAGTTTAGTGAGATGTATCCAGCCCTTTTTAGTATCCTTGCAAACTTGTGTGTGTGTGTGTGTGTGTGTGTGTGTGTGTGTGTGTAACTAATCATGAAGTAGAAAGTATTTCTGACTTTTGATCAAAAGTGTGTTCCAGCCTTTGTTGAGAGCTGACCCTGGCCCTTTTTGTTCACAGACTATCACCGCTGCCAGAAAGCAATGACCGCAAAAGGGGGTGATGTCTCTGTGTGCGAGTGGTACCGGCGAGTGTACAAGTCCCTCTGCCCCATATCCTGGGTATGTCCTGCTGGGGCCCTTGAGATACTGGGGTAGGGACACAGAGGGGAAGGTAGTGATTGGTGGGAGCTCATCTCAGTGGAGCAGTCAGTCTGCATGGGACTCATGTCTTCTCTACCCGCTTAGAATTGCCTCCCTTCTTCCTTTGCACCCTCAGCTAGTCAAGGCCTGGGGACCTGGCTGGATCATCTGGCTGGTTCTGTCTCCCTCATGCACTCTTCCTATATCTTGTGTAATCCAGTCCTTTTTTATGGTGAACATTTTCAAATTATACATAAAAGTAAAGACAATAATTCAGTGACTCCAAATATATCCATTATTCAAACTGAATAGTAAGATTTTTTCCACATCTCTTCATATATTCTTTAGGGGATGGGCGGGGGTGTTAAACCTGACCTCTTTTTCTTTTTTTTTTTTTTTTGTCTTTTTGAGACAGACTCTCTATGCAGTTCAGGCGGGCCTTGAGCTCACTTTGTAGCCCACAGTGGTCTCAAACTCCCAATGATCCAATGATCTTCCTGCCCCAGCCTACCCAGTGCTGGGATTACAGGCATGTACCACCACGCCTGGCTTTTTTTTTTTTTTTTTTTTGATAGAGTCTCATTATGTAGTCTAATCTGTCTTTAAACTTGTGATCCTCCTGCTTCAGCCTCCCAAGTGATAGGATTACAGACGTGTACCACGTGCCCAGCTTCTTTCTTTTGCTAAGTAGTCTAGAGCAAATCTCAGATAAGTTATCTTACCCCTACCTGCATCAATATACATCTCCAAAAAATGAGAACACAATGAGGCAATCATGTTTGCCCTGATCAACCTTTTGTCAGTATTTAATACTAATCATTATGTCTTTTCTTTTTATATGAAGGATTTATATTCAACATCACCCCCTTGAATCCAAGGACCCCATTAACTATAAGACATACTGAGAGATGTTCAAGACTTTTAATTGCTGAAAATGAATACAAGGAGCATTTTTATTTTGAGATAGAGTCTCACTGAGTTCCCTGGGCTGGGCTCAAACTTGGAATCCTCCTGCCTCAGCATCCCACAGTGCTGGGAATACAGGTATATTACTGCACCTGGCTATGTAACATACATAAGCCTGTGTAACTTTTATTACTACATGTTTCCAGTACATAATGATTACATTCATTGTGGGGAGTTGGTCCATGTGCATAGCACATCTTAATTCTTTTTATATCCCGTTCCCCTCCCCCGCTCCCTATTCCCTCCATCTCCTGGTCCCATAGCCTGTGGAACTTTTTGGGTATGAATGGTTCATACTGTATATTTTATTCTCTGACCGGCTTCTCCTTAGTATGTCTTGGAACCTCTTTTAATGAGATCATAAAGATCTACCTTGTTTGTATTACTTTTTTGTTGTTGTTGTTTTTTCTGGTGCCGAGAATCGAACTCCTGACCTTGTGCTTGCCAGGCAGGCACTGTGCCGCTGAGCTAAATCCCCAGCCCAGCTCTGTTTGAGTAATTTATAAGTGCTTTCATTTCACTGGTCCTCTTTTGATGGATATTATGTTCTAGTTGTTCAGTATCTTGGGCATCTAGGGTGTACATCCTTGGGGCTCACTGTCTAGAACAAAGTATGTTAGGGCATGCTTTTTATCAAATCACTTGGTTTTCCTCTTTCCTCTCTGGCCATACTAAGTATCTTTGAGTACCCTGGGCCTCCAGAATTTTTTCCTGGGTAATGTTGAGTAACATAATGTTGTGATCCCATAATCCTTAATCTAGCATCAAGGTCTGCATTGGGTGCATTTTGGCCATGGTGCCTAGAAGCAGGTTCCCCATCCTAGTGCTGTCACCCCCAGTCTGCAGGGCCTGGGCCTGCCCTGACATGGGGAGCATCAGGTAGCCACTCTTTCTGCTCTGTTAGGCTGGATATAAACATAGTTTAAGCCAGGTGTGGTGGCACACGCCTATAATCCCCAAACCTGGGAGGCTAAGGCAGGAGGATTGCCATGAGTTCAAAGCCAGCCTGAGTTACAGAGCAAGACTCTGTCTCAAAAAACAAACAAATTTATAGTCTGCACAGACCCCTTTATGCCTACCAGCTCTGACTTTATTCCAAAATGCATACTTGTTTTTTATAAGTAATGTAACCATTTCACAAAATCTTAAGAACTAGGGAAGAGGCAGAAAATTTTTCCTCATTTTCCTGTCCTGGCTGATACTACAGCATTTTTCAAGTTTTTTTTTAATTTTAATTTCAAAAAAAATTAACTTCTGTCTTACTTAACTTTTCCCATTGCTGAGATAAAATACCCAACACCCAAAATTAAGGGAGGAAACGTTTATTTCACAATTTGTAGATTTAAGTCCATAATCAGCTGACTCGAAGGCAGGGTGGTGCATGGCAGAGAGGCAACAGTTCATGGTGGCTGAAGACAGCAAAAGCAACAAAGACCTTAACAGCATCTTTCTGTTCAGGAGGTTAAGGCAGGAGGGTCACTGTGAGTCCCAGGCCAGCATAGGCTACGAAGTGAGTTCAAGATCAGCCTCAACTGCATAGCAAAACTCTGTCTCAAAAAGAAAAAAAAACTATATCTGCTGCAGAGTTGTTCCTAATGGGGATCATTCATAAACAACCAAAGTTAGATAAATGATATAAAGTACGGAGTACGTGTGTATGTTTGTGTGTGTGTAAATGGCACTTCATGACAACGTAGGCCAGCTATGTTGTAAGCATTTCATGTCCCATAAAGTCAAACATGCCCAAACAACTATATTAAGTAGTTATTATTATCAGTGTTCTCGTTTTACAGAATTGGAAACTGAAGCCCACAAAGGTTGAGTAACTTGCCTGAGCTCACAGAGCCAGAGCAGTGGACCTTCTGGAGAGACTGAGAGTCAGTCTCACATCTCCATTGCCCCTGCTTTTCTAGCATGTAAATGTGGGAGGGTGTGCTTATGTGCCTAAAAAATGAAAATGCTTATAACTACCTATGAGAAAGCCCACTAGGCATGGTGATCCACGCCTCTAAGGCCTAAGGAGGAACCTCTGTTAGGAGGGGAGAGCTGAGGGACAGATTTCAAAGAAGGACTTCCCAGCCTGGCATGGTGGCATACCCCTCTCATCCCGCTAATACTCATGGAGCGTGAGGCGGGAGGACTGCAAGTTGAAGCCTGGCCTGAAGAGCTTGGTGACTTAGTGAGACTGTCTCAAAAAAAAAAAAAGAAAAAAAAAGAAAAATTAAAAAGAAGGAAGTCCACAAAAAGCAGGTCATTAATTCCTGGGGATGTTAACGATTTGATAGAGGCCTTTCCAGCCCAGGTTATGCTGTGTCTACCTGTGTGATCAGCCATGGTCCTGCACTATGTAGTCTACTTGGCGTCCTTTTGCACTTGACTATAGACCTTGTCAATCAGTGCGTGCCAGAACACAGATCAACCTTGTAAGGTTTTTCATGGCTGCTTAGTATTCCTTCTATCCTGACGGTAAGCATACTGGTTGAGTGACCCCTGATTCCCTGGCTCCTGGGACAGTGGTTGGACCTAGTAGGCACCTGTGGTTATTTGTTGACCAAATGCACAGATGGACAAAGTGAGGAAGACAGAGAGGCCCACTCATCTTGATCCACCCTGCTCCCAGAGGGGAGAGTAATGCTGTCTGTCTCTGCAGGTCACAGCCTGGGACGAACGCCGAGCTGAAGGCACGTTTCCTGGCAAGATCTGAACTGGCTCCACCTGCTTCTCTGTCCTTTGTTCTTCTCCCGGTGGTAAAGGGGGACCTGGGTACATGATGGTCCTGCCTTGGGACCCTGAATCATGACTTAACAATAAAAACTCAGTGGAAAAGTGTAAAGACTACATGTGTAAAAATTGTGTGGCTGGGTAGGAAGCTGGGATGAAATTGGTGCCCAGACCAGCAGTAAGAGGGACTTCACAGTAATTCCCTTCTCTCTTTTCTGTTTTTATTTTATTTTATTAAATTTTAGCTGGGCCTGGTGGTGCACACCTGTAATCCCAGCACTCAGGAGGCTGAGGCAGGAGAATCGCTGCAAGTTCAAGGCCAGCCTAGGCTACAAAGTGGGCTTGAGGCCAGCGTGAACTGCATTGCAAGACCCTGTCTCAAAACAAACAAAAAAAAACAAATATTTTATTGAACTTTGACCACCTCTGTGCCAATCAACAGGGTTATGCAAAATAGCTTCAAGTCTCTATATGTACTAAAATGGGTGTGCATAGATTTTTAACTTGGTTTTGCAGTAGTGGAAATTGAGTCCAGAGCCTTTGCACTGAACTACATCCCCAGCCCTTTTTTTATTTTGAAGCAGGGTCTTGCTAAGTTACCCTCAGAGCCTCCTGCCTTCGCCTCCTGATTGCTGGGGTTACAGCCCTTTTTAATTTTTAATTTTGACACAGAGTCTCACACATTTGCTCCGGCTGAGCTTGACCTTGTGATCCTCCTGCCTCAGCCTCCCAAAGTGCTGGGATTACAGGTATATGTCACTGAGCCTGGCTTTTTTTTATTCTATAATAGTTCTTCACACGACCTGGCTATGTAAAACAGAATTTTTAAAGAAGCCAAACCAGTTGTCTTGTAGAATCACTCTGAATTTTCCTCACTGTTTCTTTGTGGGATCATTCCATCTTTTGCCACCATCTTATAAACTGGAACTTAGCTCTGCAGGCTTGATTAGATGCAAGTCAAGAATTTTTTTGCAAGAATCCGTCCTGTGTGCATCCTTATTTCTTCGTGTACCCCATGCCAGCTTGTCCCTGATAGTAATGGCTGAGTCTGATCCCTAGGAAAGGTGGTGGCCAACAGCTATATCTTCTGGAATGGTCTGTTTTGTCTTCTGGACATTGGAAACAACCTGCAGGTTGGTACTATGAAGAACAGCTCACCCATGACACCCACCACCTTGCACAGATCCACATAAGCCACGCAAGGAGACCTAAGTGCGCTCTGGTATGACCAGAACCTTGGCAGAACACCTTGTGATTCCTTAAGATACAAAAGGAGATAGCAGTCTTGTACAGAGTGGCCACAAGGCAGTTTCTCCCCCACCTGTCTTGCAGGAGGTAGTCATGAGACTATTTGTCAGACTTCCCAGGTTCAATTGAACCAGGACTTTCTACCAGGTTCTCTCTTAAGGTAGAGCTGCAGGCTGTAAAGCTGCAGGCTGAGCACATCTTGGCTTTCCCACTACTCAGCAGTGGGTTTTGGCTGCTGCAGTGAGGCAGCTGCCAGGCCTCTGGCCCCACCCCCAGGTCGGAAAGCTGTGGGTTTCTTTTAGGAAGGCCTTTGTAAAACAGTTCGGCAGGATACAAACCTCCCAAGTCGTGTTAAACAGAGAAGGGGTCGATAGGAGGAGTTTTCGTTTTGTGTTTTGAAACGATCTGGCTATATAGTTCAGGCTGGCCTTGAACTCACTATGTAGCCCAGGCTGTCCTGGAACTCACAGCGAACCTTACAGGTGTGCACCACCGTGTCCGGCTTTAATGTGAGGAATTCGCAACAGTAAAACCCCATGATGACATCCATTTGGATGTAACGTAGTTGGCTTTCTTCAGACCCTCATTTCGTTGTTTTCAACTCAACATGACTCCACATTTTACAGGTTGAATATAGCCTTCCAGGAGGGTCTGACATTCCTTTTTAAATACATTCCAGCTAATAACTAAAGAAGGAAAGATGGAACTAGAATATCCGCATTTTTTAATGCCTAGTGGGTTTGGGCATTGGGCAGTAGTGGTTGCAAATATCAGCAAAAGAGAGAATCACTATGCTCTCGATGTTTATGTCCTTTCAAAAAAATTTCTTAAGCCGAGCCTGGTGGCACACGCCTGTAATCCCAGCACACAAGAGACTGAGGCAGGAGGATCACTGTGACTTTGAGGCCAACCTCGGCTACACAGTGAGTTCACGGCCAGCCTGAACTGCATAGCAAGATCCTGTCCCCCCAAAAAAAAATTGTGTGTTGAAATCCTGGTCTCCAAGGTGATGGTGTTTGGAAGAGGGGCTTTGGGAGGGGATGGATCACGAAGATGGAGTCCCCATGAGTGGGATTAGTGCTCTTTTACAAGACTGAGGTCCCGCCCCTCTGCCACAGCAATCAAGCACTGACCTTGCACCAGAAAACGGCCCTTACCAGACACAGGAGCTGTCAGCACTGTGCTCTTCCTAACCTCCAGAACTGTGAGAAACATACCTTGTCCAAGAGATGTTTTGATGTTTCTATAAGATGCTTCAGGGGCTGGGGATTTAGCTCAGCGGCACAGCACCTGCCTGGCAAGCGCAAGGTCATGAGTTCAATTCCCGGTACTGGAAAAAAACGCTCCCCCCCCAAAAAAAAAGATGTTTTGCTAGGTGGTCTGGATGAACTAAGATAACAACCAAACATGGTGTGTCCCAAAATCACTTGCCACCACCTATGAAGTAGTTTTGCTGAAAATTTCAATTCTCAGTCTGACTATATGTCTATATTCAACTTGTGATCCAAAGGAATTACAGGGGAGTGTGTTTAACTGCACCATAGCATGCAGTTAGAAAAAAATTGGACTCTGGAAAGTTACAGAACAATGATGTACTTTCTCCCATAAATATAAAGGCAAAGAGAAAAAAAGAGAGGAAGAATATAGATTAAAAGGTACTTAAGGGCTGAGGGTGTAGCTCAGTGGTAGAGCACTTACCTAAGACGTGTGAGGCCCTGGGTTTCATCCCTAACAGACATACACTTGCACATACACACTACTTAAAAAATATATCCAGATCCTAAATGAAGCAAATTATTAAAATATGACATTTATGAGACAGAAACTTGAGCACTGACTTGATATTAAAGATAATTTCTTAGGTGTGATGACAACGTTGAGGTATTATCAGCTATTATGTTTCAGAATATTTATTGAATATAACGTTCTGAAATGTTTGTGGATGGAATGAAGAAAAAAACTTGCAATGATTTCCAAAAGTGCTTAGAATGGGGTAGAAATTTCTTAAAATACAAATCTGGAGAAGTGGGCTCTAGTCTGACTTTGCAGAAATGACTCAGAAAATAGCCAGGTATTGTGGAGAATGCCAATAATCCCAGCAGTCTGAGAGGCTGAGGCAGGAGGATCACAAGGTTGAGCCCAGCCTGGGCAATCTAGCTATTTAGTGACAAATACAAAAGGACTGGAGATACAGTTCAATGCCAAAGCCCTAGGTTCTGACTACAGTATTGGGGTGGGGATGGGGCCACAAGGACATGGACACACAGACAAAGAAAAGGAAACAGGGAGGGAGGGAGGGATGGGGGAGGAAATGCTACAGAACTGCATGCCATAGGCCCTTGTTCCCTCCCCTCTGCAATCAGGAATGAGGAAGTTGAGGTGTAGGGAGGATCTGTGAAGAGAGGAAGGAGCCTACTGGAGGAAAGAGCTTACTGGAGCTCTGTCAAAAAATATACTACTGTAACTGTCCAGAAGCAAGAGGCCGCCTTCATCAGGACCAAACCCAGAAGGTTCTAGAAAATTAGTCTAGGGTGCAGCCAGACATGGTGCTAACGATCCCCAGGGAATTGTAAGGCGTAGCAAACTTTAAGGAGCATTCATGGTGCCTGGGAATCTCATTAAAATGCAGATTCTGGGGGCTGGGGATTTAGCTCAGCAGCACAGCACCTGCCTGGCAAGCGCAAGGTCATGAGTTCGATTCCCGGTACCGGAAAAAAAGTAAAATAAAAATAAATAAATAAAAAATAAAATGCAGATTCTGAATCAGCAGTCAGGGTCAGGTCTGAGATCTGATTTGCTAACAAGCTTCCACGGGATGCTGGCCCAAAGACCACACTGAGCTAGCACAGGGTCTAGAACAGATCTGATGGCCACTTCCTGTCTGCGTGGAGTCTGGGACACAAGCTAAATAACCTCACAAGGAAGAAACAGCAAAGTGCAAGTGGTGGGATGTTATACCAGAAAAATGCCGTGGTTTCTTCAACATACAGAGATGGCAAACGGTTTGTGGATTTAAAAGGGCTTGAAATACAGTGGTGCCTTGGTTCATGAACTCAATTCCCCACAATTCTAGTCACAAGCCGAACTGGATGAGAACAGAATCAGACTTCCCCGTAAGGTCACCTTTGAGCCTAACCATTAAATTTGATTTGGTTCTCATCCAACTTGGCTTGTGACCAGAATCATGGAAAGAAATGTTTGTTAATCAACTTGGAAAACAATTTGATAATTTACTTTTTGAACTTAATTTCTAATTCACATACCATAAAATTCAAGATTTCAAAATGTGTCGTTCAATTTTTAATATATTCAGAAAGTTATGCAACTTCATTACTATATCTACTTCCAGAATATTGAAAAGAAATATGTTTCCTCATTAGAAGGGTCTGTAATTAAAATTTCTAAAAAGCATACAGAAAGGAGGATTAGGGGCTGGGGATTTAGCTCAGCGGCAAAAGCGCCTGCCTGGCAAGCGCAAGGCCGTGAGTTCGGTTCCTGGTACTGGAGAAAAACCAAAAAAAAAAAAAAGAAAGAAAGGAGGATTGCAGGCCTCAAGTCCAGCCTGGGCCACTTAGTGATTTAGTGAGAGCCTGTCTCAAAAAATAAAAGGGTTCATGATGTAGCTTAGTATGAAGGCTCTGGGTTCAAGATCCAGTTCTGAAAAGAAAAGTTTAGGTTTGACATCCAAGTGCACCCACTTCATGTTGGGAAACAAAAGGACTCTCTTTTATGACTGACAAGCATATTGATGTCCCGTGGTCGTGACAGTTTGCTTCTATTGGGTTTCCTCATGTCTGACCTGCAAATACTAACAGTCACCAACTATTTGAAAACTAAATATTTCAAATAATCAGTGTGGCTGTA